AAAATACAAGTTTCATTTACTTTTTTCGTTTTAATTAAATGCAGTATTCTAGACTCACTGTTCATTAAAGATTCCTCCTCTTGCTGCAATGACAGACCTTGTGCTTTCTTGTCGTGAGTCCATTAAAATATTCAGATGAACTTTACAATACAAGGTTGTCTAATCAGTTCTTCAAGGTCTGCAACATGACTTGGCCAAAATGTTGTCCAAAATATTCAACCCAACATATTCAATATCCATAGCATGAATCAATTTTTCACACTCCGTGAGTGGGACGTGAGCAAACGCGGTCACGTTGTTTTCTCATACTGGCCCTGTGTTCTACATCATGTATGACAGAGCTGCAGCTCTGCTAAACTTTTTTATTATTTATCTGAGACTGCACTAATCATTGTCTTTAATACCAGGCACACATGATAAAGAGTGTTTTAGGAGGGAGTAATCGGGAACATTGTCATTTGTTTGTAGTCTATATGGATGGCAAACAAATACAAAATCAGTGGTGTTCTGAAATGAGGTGGCAAAGTCCTCACAGTTTATGTATTTTTTTATTTTTTTTATTTCCCAGTTACACTTAATGTCACATTTTACTGGTCACGTTGCTGGTTTGTCACATTAAAAAAGAGAAACCAAATACAATTCGATTTGTATTTTTACTCTAACTATCTAATTAATGTTCCCCCCAACTGAGTTGTTTACTATTTAGTTGGCCATAATTTATTGAGGAAGCACTGCCTACCTTTCCTACTTGGAGGAGAGTACAGCATGCGGCAAAAAAGTCTCTCTGTGTACAGTAAAACAAGACATCCCATAGCTTATGCTCCCAATGTGATATAACCTTAAATATAGACACCAAAATAAAAATATGCTGTTCATGCACATTTTCCCCGCTCAAGCTACTCGCTTTGTGTACAAAAGCCCTGAAACTGGCAGGTCACACATTTCACGAGCTCCTTATTGTCAAAAGCTATGAGTAATGGTCCATTTTGTAGTATCTAAATTTGTCTTAAAGGCCAGAGACATGGAAATTCTTCATAACCTTGCATTATGTACAGTATATGATACTGAAGTGCCTATTCTTCCAATTGGTTCTTGCAGCGGAATTTCCATTTGGTTTTATTTCGGCTCTGAGAGAGCACAGCACAGTCCCATATCCACGTCTCAAACCCTTTTTGTACATGACTTGTATGTGTGTCCAGATAAGAGGAAGTGCTCTGATAAAGAGTTCCGCTGCTCTGATGGAAGTTGCATCGCAGAACACTGGTACTGTGATGGAGACTCCGACTGCAAAGATGGAACTGATGAAGAGAATTGCCGTAAGTTGATTCTGAGTTTCTTAATGTGCGTATTTGTCAAATGAACATCCATCCTGCCTCATTCCATCCAATTCCATCCATCCTATCCATGCCTTATTGGTGGAGCTATAGAGCAAATGTATGTTTAGGTTAAATTATCAATTTTCTTAAATAATTTCTACTCATTGTAGGCCATCCTCCAAAACTCTGCACACTCTAAAAAATGGGTTGTTTTAACCCAATTTTGGGTAAAATATGGACAAACCCAGCCATTGGGTTACATTTTTAAATTACATTTTTAAATTCCAACCCAAATGTTGGATTGAAAAAATGCAATTTAAAAATGTAACCCAATGGCTTGTTTTGTCCATATTTGACCCAAAATTGGGTCACACTCCAAACAACCCAGCATGTTTAGGTCAAATTTTCAATTTTCTTAAATCTTTTCTACTCATTTTAGGCCATCCAAAACTCTGCACACTCTAAAAAATGGGTTGTTTTAACCCAATTTTGGGTAAAATATGGACAAACCCAGCCATTGGGTTACATTTTTAAATTACATTTTTAACACAATGGCTGGGTTTGTCCATATTTTACCTAAAATTGGGTTAAAACCACGTATTTTTAGAGTGCATGTATAGTATAGAAAAAATCTTGACAAAGTATCATTTTGCAGCTGTCTGCCAAAAAATATTCAGATATGAACTTAATAAAATTTCACAAAACCACATTCTAAAAATGCTGTGGTGTTTTAACTCAATTTTGGGTCAAATATGGACAAACCCAAACGTTGTATTAAAATGCAATTTAAAAATGTAACCCAATGGCTTGTTTTGTCCATATTTGACCCAAAATTGGGTTTTTTTAGAGTGCATGTATACAGTAGTATAGAAAAATTTCTCTACTTTTTTATATGCTTGGATCCCAATTATTGCTTGCATGAGACTGTATTTATTTCTGTGTTATATGTGACCCTGGATCACAAAACCAGTCTTGCACAGGTATATTTCTTGCAAAACCAACAAAACACTGTATGGGTCAAAAGTTTCGATTTTTCCTTTATGCAAAAAAATTATTGGGATATTAAGTAAAGATCATGATCCATGAAGATATTTAGTAAATTTCCTACCTTTCCTACCTATATACATTTACTTAAAAGTGGACGCAGCACAATCGCCAACAGAAATGGAAACCTTTAAAGGCCATTTTCTCAATATTTAGATTTTTTTGCACCCTCAGATTCCCAATTTCAAATAGTTGTTGTATCTCTGCCAAATATTGTCCTATCCTAACAAACCATACATCAATGGAAAGCTTATTTATTCAGCCTTCATGTGGTGTATAAATCAGACATAAGACTGCTTTTGTGGTCCAGGACCAGGGTCACATATTTGTTTTTCATTTTGTGCAAATAACTGTGCTGAGGGATTTGTTGGACTGTGTCAGGGTGCATGTGTGTGTGGGTGTGTAACTCGTGTTACATAATTTCTCTCTCCAGCATCTGATGTGATGACAGCCACATGCAGTGTTGAGGAGTTTCAGTGTGCTTATGGTCGTTGCATTCTGGACATCTACCACTGTGATGGAGATGACGACTGCGGTGACTGGTCAGATGAGTCCGACTGTTGTGAGGATCATTCACTCATTTGTTTGAAATGCCTCTTTTCTCTCTCTACTCGCAATCATTAGAAATAATTCTATACATTTTCCCTTCTGAAAGAGAAATACGTTTTAGCATACTTATTAGGGTAATAATACATTTAAGTTGAAACTAAATGTAATGTTTTCAGGCACTTACTTGCATGGTAATTGCAATTAAATTAAATGTATTGTAGTTTAAATTTATATCAAATGCACTTTGCTGCTTTTTGGCCCACCTAAAGTAGGACTTAATAAATATACCTAAAATATTTTTTTTAATGAAACAACCCTTATTATAAAACCCTATTTTTTTCTAAATGGGCACTTGTAGTTTTCTTCAAATCTTTCCATTTTTAAAAACTGTACTTGCAGGTAATATAATATTAATGAAATATAATGTCACTAATGTGAACTTAGGTACTTTCTGAACGTGTAAGTACTCGTACTTTAAAGTAAAACTTTTAATTTAACATTATTAAAAAGTACATTTGTTTTAATAATCTTTTGTCATGCTTTAAAGAAGTACACTTATTTTGAAGCAAGTACTTTGCATATGCGTTAGTATGTTGCTAAACCATTTGAACTGATATTACATTTAATTTTAATATATTTTAAATTGCAACTTCATTACAAATAGGCCTATATTTAAATATTTTAATATATTTTTTGGGGAGTAGTGTGTATGTCTGATTTGGTTGTGTGTGTGTGTGTGTGTGTGTGTGTGTGTGAACGCAGCCTCCCATCAACCCTGCCGTTCTGCAGAGTTCATGTGCAGCAGTGGCATGTGTATAAATGGAGGGTGGAGGTGTGACGGAGAATTCGATTGCGACGACCAATCAGATGAAAAGAACTGCAGTGAGTAACAGTTTTATTGTAATATTTGTGTGTGAGTGTATTTTACATCTGTGACATGCCTCTTTCTCACCGTCAGGCACATCGATGTGCATGGCTGATCAGTTTCGCTGTATGTCTGGCCGATGTGTGCGGTTATCATGGCGCTGTGATGGAGAAAATGACTGTTCTGATGGCAGTGATGAAGAAGGCTGTGAAAAGACAGGTAAGGAATATAAAAGCCAACTAGATGCAAGTTTTGCTGCTTGTTCTGAACATTAACAAAGGCATAGCTTGATGACGCCGTGAATAAGTGGAGTCATGGGAGTCGCCCTCTTCACCTCCACAGCCGATGTAAAGCAATACGACGGGACTCAAGCAGACATCATGGATTGAGTGACTGTATTAAAGTTTTATTAAGCAGGGCAGGCCAAGAGCCTGGGACGTGTTACTTTGCTGTTTTCGTGTTGTGTATGTTAACTTCATGGTTAAAGTTTAAAGAATGTTTAAGGTTTTGTGGTTCCTGCCGCCTCCAGGGCTCCAGACTGCGACCAAATGGTTGCATATTGCGACCAAAATTTTTTTAGAG